ACAGTTCCATACAACAGTCCCCAGTGTATATTCCCCATACAGTCCCCAGTGCTATAGTCCCCATACAACAGTCCTGTAGTCCCCATACAACAGTCCCAGCAGTCCCCAGTGCTAATAGTCCCGCAGTGTTAATAGTCCCCATACAACAGTCCCCAGTGTTAATAGTCCCCGTACAACAGTCCCCAGTGCGTTATACAACGTACAGTGTCTCCCCAGTGCTAATAGTCCACACTAACGTTGGTATTAGCATCCCCATACAACAGTCCCCAGTGCCAATAAGACGCAGGTTTACTGGTTATATTTCCTTGGTAATTAAGAGGTGGTAACGTCACTATTGGGATTGGGCTGTTAATGAACTACCTAATAGGACGGGGCTCTATTCAGACTCCATTTGATCTGCTACTGAACAATGGCCTCTCGAGGGGGTAAGGATGTGGAGAGGAAGGGGGTGTGTGGAGGGAAGAAAGGGAAGGGAAGGGGTGTGGAGGGAGAGGGAAGGACTGACTGGTCATCATTCAGCGTTCAGATAAAAAGGACAACACATTATCCTGGGAAGATTGTTCCTATCCAGGCTCCACCCACCATGGGGAGAAGGAGAGGTGGTCAGAACAAGTGTGGTCACTAAGTTAGGGGCCCTCAGGGGGTGGTCACTAAGTTAGGGGCCATCAGAAAGTGGTTACTAAGTTAGGGGCCCTCAGATGAAATTGGGTTCACCTCAGAGTGGTCACTAAGTTAGGGGCCCCAGCAGTAGTCACTAAGTTAGGGACCATCAGAGTGGTCACTAAGTTGGGGCCCTCAGAAGTGGTCACTAAGTTAGGGGCATGGGGTCACTAAGTTGGGGCCATCAGAGGTGGTCACTAAGTTAGGGCCCTCAGCAGTCACTAAGTTAGGGGCACTCAGAGGTGGTCACTAAGTTAGGGACCCTCAGAAAGTCACTAAGTTAGAGGCACTCAGAGGTGGTCACTAAGTTAGGGGAATGAAGGTGGTCTGGGAACAATGGAGAGTGTCTTGAGTGAGTGTAATGTTTAGGAACGTGATTCAGCTCTTCATCGCCTTCTCGAAGAGGGAGGATAAAGAATGACTACACACACACACACTAGCCAGCTTTAAATTCTCTTATCAAGAGCTCCACACAAGACAATAGCCCCGTTAGTCACACGGCTCAAAGCTAATGAGTATTTACAATTACTACTGTGCTGGGCCAGCACAACCCACCAATTACCGCATTAGTCAAGCTCCTCTCACCCAATCACAACAGCGGGAATCATCCACCAATAGCAAACTCGATCAAATCCTGTCCTGTGCAATCAGAACTGAGAAAACCTTACCCTATACTCTTCACCCCCCTAAGAGAAGGGAGCAGTCCGGTCTCTGAATTATCATATGGTAGAAAATTACACCTCTGGAGCCTGATAAACTCACTGTGTTGGCCAAGTGATGGTTCATTAGGAGCGTTCACTGTGGGTTATCCCGAGTGTTGAGACCCGTTATCCACCTGTTATCTCCGCTCCTTCGCTCTCATTAAGATTATCCAATTAAAATTTTACATCCTTCGAGAGGCAAGTGGCAGAGGCGGGAGCTGCTACTGGGCTTATCGTGGCTCAGGTCTCCACTGTGTCTTGTGTTTGTTTTGTGTATTTGTCTTGTGTTTGTTTTGGAGTTTTTTCTTGTGTTTGTGATTGTGTTGTGCTTATTGGTGTGTTTGTTGTGATGTGTTTGTGTGTTTGTGTTGTTTTATTGTGTGTTTGAGTTGTGTTTTAGTGTGTTTGTGTGTTTTTGCTGTTTTGTTTTGTGTTTGTTTTTGTGTGTGTGTGTGTGTGTGTGTGTGTGTGTGTGTATGTGTGTGAATTGTGTACTGTGTGTTTGAGTTGTGTGTTTGTTGTGTGTGGTGTGTGTTGTGCTTACTGTGTGTGTAGGTTGTGTGTTTGTTGTGTGGTGTGTTTGTTGTGTGTTGTGCTTCTGTGTTTGAGTTGTGTGTTTGTTGTGTGGTGTGTTTGTTAGTGTGTGGTTTTTGTGCTTACTGTTGTTTGCTGGATCTGCAACTCAGTTAAACAAATGCCAAACCCACAAGATAGGTGTATGGCAACCAAGGAAAGACGTAGCTACAGCCGGTTTCACACACACACACACACACACACACACACACACACACACACACACACACACACACACACACACACGATAGGTAAACATTGGTTCGAAACAGAGTAGTGGATGAATGGAACAAGTTACCAAATATCATCATTAACTCTAACACGCTAGATAGCTTCAAACATAGGTTGGATGGATCAATAGGGGTTGGGTGTAAACGGGACTGTCCAGTATGGGCCAATAGGCCCGATGCAGTTTCCTCCATTCTTATGTTATTGTGTCCATAAATTATCAGAGTTTTTTTTAATTTTAACAACTTCAAAAATATTACACAATACAATACTCTGGGTTAATGAATACTTGACGAACAACTCAACAATTCTTTAGTTTTTATTGTCTTCTTAAATTTCCACATTGATTGATTGACTGTTTAAATGACTGACTGACTGACTGATTAAGATCTATTTAGTAAAATCATCATGCAAGTTTACATTTTATTTGCCATGCAGGTAAACTGTACACTTCAGCATACATGCATATGAACAACACAGGTATACAGTTTACTCGTTCATATACAGTGCGAGTATACAATTTCCAACGTACCTATAGACATTGTGGGTATACAAACAATAGTAAACAATCACATAATTCAATTGAGGACAACAAACAAAAACAATCAGAGGTTAATTTCGATAAAGGATCCTCTAACATTCTGAAATTTTACACTGGGTCGGGTAACTCATGGCCACACACGGTATACATTAATTCTTGGGGTCAAATAGTCAGTTTGGGGGTTATATTTTGCCGGGGTGAAGTAATATGTAGGTCAGGGAGGAGGTGGGGTGGCTAGACCAGTTTGTTGTGGGTGTTGTGGTGAGTCATCCTCCTCCCCACACTACTGTTGGTGGTGGCATACTGGCCAGACCATATGGCTGTGTGTGTGTGGGAGAGAGAGAGAAATGAAGAAAAATAAGAGACAAAGTGAGAGAGAGAGAGAGAGAGAGAGAGAGAGAGAGAGAGAGAGAGAGAGCACTGAGACAGAAGAACAGGTGTTACCACAATGTAAATTGATCAGTTGCTTTCTCCCCTGAACTGGCAACGGTGGGCAGGTGGGGTCTCGTGGTCTGTGTGTGTGAAAGGTGGGGTAGTGGTGGTGGGGTCTGTGTGTGGAAAGGTGGGTAGTGGTGGTGGGTCTGTGTGTGGAAAGGTGGGTAGTGGTGGTGGGTCCGTGTGCGGAAAGGTAGGTAGTGGTGGTGGATCCGTGTGTGGATAGGTGGGTAGTGGTGTTGGGTCGTGATGTTAGGTGTGGAGAAGGAAGCTGTGGACTGTGGATGGAGACAGTCCACTTCCCTCCCTCCCTGCCTCTCCCTCTCTTATTTAAATCCCAGATGCCAGAAGGTGTGTTAATGAGGGTGGTGGAGCCCATACCTGATGTTTGGAGGGTCGGGGCACCAGGTGAGTCTACGCCTCCCCATCCTTAATATATCACCTGTGTGGGGGTTTACCTGGAGAGTGGGGGGAGGGGGTGTGTGTCAGTTAATGGGGACTTGTCATATCTAAGTATCTCGATTAGTGACTCAAGGTTCCGGGCGACAACCTGTTACTATCAGCACCTCGCACACCACAGCCTGCATCATCACTAACATTATGAGTGAATATATCATCGTCTCACCTAAGAACATTAGAACATAAGAATGGAGGAAACTGCAGCGGGCCTATTGACCCATACTGGGCAGTCCCGTTTACACCCAACCCCTATTGCTCATATATCCATCCAACCTATGTTTGAAGCTATTCAGCGTATTCGAGTTAATGATGATGTTTGGTAACTTGTTCCATTTATCCACTACTCTGTTTCCAAACCAGTGTTTACCTATTTCACGCCTAAATCTAAATTTTTCTAATTTAAAACCATTGTTACGAGTGACTAACCGTACAGGTACACGAGAGCCTAGCGGGGTAAACACAGCTTCGTCTAAGCCTCTAAGGGAATGACAGGATGAATAATGTCAAGTTTATTTCAATATGTGAGAACAAAGACACCCTTCAGGTCACATATATACTCCCCTGGATGGAGTCTGGCTGTGTAATATCATCACCTTTTATAGCCGGACAAACCTCACAACGAGATTATGTACAATAAAACATTTACATAAACTTCATCAAATGTCTCCACTACCAGGAATACATCACAGCACCTGGCCCGCCTCTGGGTGTACAGTACAGTAGGCGCTGGCTGTCATTTTAATCAGTAGAACATACGATTACTGGTGTATAAAAACCGCCACTTCGAGGAACATGACATTTGGTACAACTGTGGTGTGGACGGTACAAGGGAAGAGAACATTCACTGACTAACTCAAGGTGTTTCCGTCCTGATCCACCACAAGTGTTAAGGTCTTGTTATCACACGGTTGTTTACATGTGATAAATACAACAATGTGGCCACTGATTTACACAGAAATATAACAACTAACTATGGTAAGAGAAACAACTGAACATGAAAAATATATCTTCTGAACAGTTGTGGTTGTGCCCGCGGTTATTGACTTCTGGGAACACACTCGGTCTTCCTGACGGTGTTGTAGGCCCCTGATGCTGGTAGAGTATGTTAACACAGTTCCCAGTATCATGTTCAACACTTCCTCGATATTAGCGGCAGTAAAGGTCTCTCCCATTATGACTCGTAAGACAATATATGTTAACAAAAGGTAGTAAGACTTTTATGGTGGTGAATGGATTACCAACACCTAATGGTTTTGTTTAAGCATTTCTCTCCTTTCCTCACACTGGGAGTATGAAGTGTACACTTTATGATGTGTTGTTTAATATGAATGTTTTATTGTGGTGTACAGCACAGCACAGCACAGTACTATAGCGTGTCTCTCTCTCTCTCTCCCCCAGGCGGAGTTGTCCCTGCAGGGCGATGACTTCACGCGGCAGATCTGGCACATGTACGCCACCTTCGAGGAGTTCATAGACCACCAGCAGACATCGGGGGAGGGCAGCCCCGCCTCCCGGCCCTCTTCGGGGGCCAACTCCGGCACAGAGGCCCCGCCGCCCCCCGCGCCCAACGGGGGCCTGGGTGCCACCAGCCCCCGGGATGTGTTGAGTAGTCTGGGCACCTCCACCACCACCTCCGCCCACCACTCCAGCGCCGCCTCTACCCGCGTCACCATGGCCGAGGTGGCGCTGCCCCAGGGCATGATGCCCTCCCATCACGCCTCACGCCAACACTCACCCCCCGTGGCGCGCGACGATCTGGCACTGGCGTCGCCCCGCCGCCGACGGCGACCTCGGCGACTTCGTCGTTCAGTGGACAACCCTTTGTTGGACACCATCAGTGCCATCGGTGATGCGGACAGTGACGAAGCGGACCTACTGCCGCCGGCGCCGCCACCATCAGCATCATCGTGCTGGGGGCCGCGCCTCCACCCCGAGGCCGACGTGGTAGGCTACGCCGGTAGTAACAGCGTGGACAGCGGGTACAAGAGCGCCTGCCCCACCCCTGAACTGCCAGACCCCGCCGCCTACCTGGAACACCGTCTAGAGAAGCGCGGCTCCCTTGCCTCCCTCGCCTCCACGGGTTCCTCTTCTGGCAGCGGCAGCGCCTCCAAGCCGCGCATAGCCATGGGCACGCGCGTTATGTCTCGTGTGCCCCGGTCACCCAGCTCCGGGGGAAGCGCCCCCTCCCCCGGTTTACCCCGGAGACCTGGCTCAGACGGTTCCTACTACGAGCTCGACCAGTTGGCGGGGCTAAGGGGTGGCTTACTAGGGTCGCCGCCCCCGCACACCGCCCCTGCGGAGGTCAGAAACCCTGGCTTCACACGGTACTCCCCCCGGGGGTCCCCCGCCCCCCAGCGTAACTCCTCTCCCGGAGGCGCCACCCCACGGGACACCCACGTGTCTCGCCGAGCTGCCTCACCCGCCTCCCCTGAGCGTCGTCCCCGCAGTGCCTCCACGGGGTCTCGCTGTTCCCCCGGCACTCGGGGGCGCCGCCCTCCAGGGGGACTACGTGCTGGGTCACCCCTGCTAGCGTCGACGGGGTCACTACCGAGGGCGTCATCCCCTGGACGGCGGCCGAGGGCGCTCTCCCCCGCCACCCGGGAGGAGTCTCGACCGCCTACCTCCTGGTCCCGCCACTCTTCACCAGGGGTGGCGCCGCCGCCCCGCTCACTGCGCCGCCCACCGTCGCCTATCGTGGGCGGCCACCACGATACCGACCACGACCTGGCACTGTTGGAACGGGAGATCGACGCCCTCTTGTACGGTGACCCCCTGGCGCCGCCCCCCGCCCCTGACTACTACGACCTCGACTCTGAGTTTGCTGCCTGCACCTGCCCCACCGCCTTCACCAGACCCGCGCCCCCAGGTATGTCATCTTCCTTGTGTCTCGCCCTCCCTACAGGTACACCTCTCCTGGTGTGTTATAAACTCATAGGTACAGTACGTGTGTTACCAGGTTCAGTAGCGTCACTAGGCTGGAGGTGTGTAGTACACCGACCTACAGAAGGCTGTGTGTGGTGTTAGGCTATGTGTATATGATCACGGTTTGTACACATGACAAATTGTATGTAAAATACAATAGACTTGTGTAGATAAACGTAAGTTAAGTTGTATGTACTGTACATAGTGTGACGACCACCGTGCAATACCGCCAGATATATCGTAACAAGATAAGCTGACAGTGTTGACATATTAGTGTACAATACTGTGTGTGTGTTGGGAGACGCCAGGTAGAGTGGGGGAATATTAGGCAGGTAAGGGAGGAGGAGGAGGGGGGGGGTGTAGCTTCTTAGTATGCATGGCCAGAATCCCTATACCGGGGTAACACTGTCTTGACCCTCATCTACGTCTCCGTTCCTTACTATCCTTTCCTGCCCCCCCCCATGCTCTTTCTCTCTCACTAAAAGTTCATTATCACATCTACAAGCGGGTCGTATTAAATAATAATAATAATTACGACCACAACTTATTATAATAGTAACAACAACAACAATAATAATAATAATAACAATAATAACAATAATAATAATAATAACAATAATAACAATAATAATAATAACAATAACAATAATAATACATAAATATTCCTTTTGCTCTCTACATAAATTCGTAAATGTACTTTATACTAATACGGGAGAGAGAGAGAGAGAGAAAGAGAGAGAGAGAGAGAGAGAGAGAGAGAGAGAGAGAGAGAGAGAGAGAGAGAGAGAGAGAGAGAGAGAGAGAGAGAGAGAGAGACACCCTCGAGCCCCGCATCACAAGAATGAGGTTGAGTGGTTCACCTTGTGTTTTATTGCCTGCCTTTACTACCGCTACTGCTACTACTACCCTCCTCTTTTGTTGCTGTCTTCCTTCTTTATTACATCCTTACTTCCTTCTTTATTCCTAGCTTCCTTCCTTTTTCATCGCCTCCTTCCTTCCTTCCTTCCTTCCTCCTTTATCCCCTCCTTCCTTCCTTTTTTATTCCACCCTTCCTTCTTCCTTTTATCCCTCCTTCCCCTCTTCTCGTTTGTATTATTAGTGATCTCATTATTCTCTTGTTTTTATTCTCTCCCTCAGCTGTTTGTTTCTTGTCTATAACCCTAATGGTCTTTAGCTTCTTCTTGGCTCTCAACAGCTCCCTCCATCCTCTCCCTCCCACAACAGTACCAGCCTCCATCACTTCCTCCCTCCCTCCTTCATCACTCCATCTCTCCTCCCACAACAGTACCAGCCCTCCATCACTTCCTTCTCCCCTCTTCACTACTCCATCTCTCCCCTCCCACAACAGTACCAGCCTCCCCTTCCTCCCTCCCTCCCTCCATCACTCCCCCTCCCCTCCCACAACAGTACCATCCCTTCCATCACTTCCTCCTCCCTCCCTTCATCACTCCATCTCTCCTCCCCACAACAGTACCAGCCCTCCATCCCTCCTCCTCCCACAACAACACCTCACCTCCCCTCCATCACTCCATCTCTCCCTCCCACAACAGTACCAGCCCTCCATCACTTCCTCCCTCCCTCTCCCCTCCATCACTCCATCTCTCCCTCCCACAACAGCACCAGCTCCTCCATCCTTCCTCCTCCCACTCCCTTCATCACTCCTCCATCTCTCATTCCTCCACAACAGTACAGCCCTCTCCATCCCTCCCTCCCCACAACACTACCATCCCTTCCCTCATCACTCCATCTCCTCCCACAACAGTACTAGGCCTCATCCTTCCTCCTCCTCAATAACAGCAGGCCCCAGCCCCCATCATCCCCTTCTCCCTCCCACAACAGTACCAGGCCAGCCGTCCCTCCCCTGACTGTTTGGCCCAGCGAGCCCTGGGAGAGAGAGAGAGAGAGAGAGAGAGAGAGAGAGAGAGAGAGAGAGAGAGAGAGAGAGAGAGAGAGAGAGAGAGAGAGAGAGAGAGAGAGAGAGAGAGAGAGAGAGAGAGAGAGAGAGAGAGAGAGAGCCAATAACTGTGCCAAAGTATGCAAGAGGGTGATCACAAGTTGCAAATAATAGCACATACAACTTTCTTATTTTTCAATTTGGTGGAAACTTTAGGAACTTTGGGGGAAAATATTCTCAAAAAAGCTTCGAGGCGAAAATAGGAAGGAAAAAAAATCTGTGGACAATTTTAGGAAAAGTATTGAGGAAATTTCTAGGAAAGAGATGGAAAATATTATAAGATTTGTTGAGAATATTGAAAGACGCAAATGACTGGATTAAATCACCGTTACTGGATTAAATCACCGTTAATGGATTAAATCACCGTTATTGGATTAAATCACCGTTACTGGATTAAATCACCGTTATTTCACCTTCATTCTTCAATATACAAAGATACAGGAATTACAGAGGAATAATTAATGATTCTATTTCCTTCACTATCTACCTTATGAATAAATGTATTAGTAAATGAATAAATGAATACATAAATAAATGACAGTGACTGACTGGCAGGAATATATGACTGGAGGAATGAATGAATGAGTGAATGAATGGATGAATGAATGAATGAGTGAATGGATGAATGGATGAATGAATGAATGAGTGAATGGATGAATGAATGAATGAATGAATGAATGAATGAAAGAATGAATGAATGATTGAATGAATGAATGAATGAATGAATGAATAATTGTTTGACATGAAATTAATGAAAAAAAAATCAGTGAGTGAATAAATGTTTGAAATTACAAATATATGAATAAGTGAATAAGGAGTAAATGAATAAATAAAATGACTACACGAGAGAACACATACGCGAACAGTAGGTATTTTGGCCGCTAAAAATTTCAGTTTAGTTACATTTTTTTTTTGGTGGTTTTTTGGCGCACAACTACCTGGAATATTGGTACATCTGCCTTACTAGAATCTCCACTTGTTTAGTTTTATATTTTTGGCGAGCATTATACTGAAGAGTGGAGGCGGGTTGGTTGGTAGTGTTGTCTGTTTGGCGCGCACACACACACACACACACACACACACACACACACTTGTCCCTTGAGGTAATGATGATGATGATGATGATGACCCTGATGGCCACTGTTGGATGATGACACCTTTCCATAGTAATGACGATGATGATGATAGTGATGATGAGGGCCACGAGGGTGATGATAGATAGACCGTCCAAGTGCTGGTCAAGACGGCAGAGACTAGATCATGTTTAGTTCTCTTTTAGTTAACTGTGTCGTTGACCCCAGACAGAAATAGGTCATCCTAGGTCATCTTCTAGGTATCACCTTATACCACACGCTTCATGCCCAGTTCTTCAGAGAAACCTAGTGATTAGCGCCCCTCCTGCTGCACTGCACCCTCCCCTGCTGCACCCCTCCCCCTGCTGCACCCCTTCCCCTGCTCACTCCACACCTACCTGGTCTACCACTGTTTCACCTGCTGGGCTTCGACTGTCCTTCTTCCCCGACATGTCCTGCTTCTGACCAGCTGTTATTCCTGTGGCCTGTAGCTGCCCCGCAAGTCGCCTGTGACCTGCTGCTGTTATGACCTGCTGCTCTTGCATTACTACTGGCCTGCCGCTGATCTGCAACTGACACGCGCCAGACCTTCATTTGGTGGTGGTGGTGAAGGAGGAGGAGGCGGCGTGCCACATTCCACGTGTGAGAGACAAAAGTATTTGGCGGCCGAGGATTAACGCTCCTCACCCCCTCACTTTAATGACTCTCTTCTTCCTTCCTCCTGGGCTTAATATTTTATTTTTACAATTTGTCCCGCGAGGGGGCTAGTTTATTGGGCACCCCCTTGCATCCTGTACAAGGTGAAGCGTAAAAGCGTTTACAGCGCCTCCTGACTTCCTACCCTCCCTCCTGACCTCCAACAACGCCCTCCTGACCTCCAACAACGCCCTCCTGGCTCCCTACTCCTCCCTCTTGGCCTCCTCTTCCCTGTCACCCTCATGACACTCTCCCTCCTTGACACTTACCACCGCTCGACACTTTTTCGCCACTTGACACACCCTTTCTGACACTCGCCACTTGACACACCCTTTCTGACACTCGCCACTTGACACACTCTCCCTACCACTTGACACACAGGTGTAGGGGAGGGCGGGAAGATCCTAAAACCAATATGGTGGAGGCACCGTAAATCATATGCAGTATCTCTTACCTGACCCACCACCCCGCTCCTCAGGTATTCAGGCCAAGCAGCCCACCCCGCCCACCATCACACCCACCACTACCCCGCCCATTATCACACCCACCACTACCCCGCCCATTATCACACCCACAAGCCCACCATCACACCCTGCTGTAGGAGACCAGTGAAGGCGCTGACGGAGACAAAGTGAAGACGAGGAACCTGCCACCATAACACTGTGTGGGTCAGATTAGGTCATGTCAGGTCATCTGTACCTTCACCCCTGAACCATCCCCGCGACTGACCCCTGTTTCTTGCCACCCAGATGACCTTGCATGCCATCCAAATGACCCCACAGTCCATCCAAATGAGCACACATGCCATCCAAATGACTTGACATGCCACCAGCTCCCTGCAGATTCTTCTTGACCACATAAGAACATAAGAAAGTAATGAGTCTGCAATAGGCCGGTTGGCCTGTGCATGGCAGCTCCTGTCGAGAGTTACTACCACTCTCTATCATCCATGAATCTATCTAGCCTCCTTTTAAAACTTTCCAGAGTTCCCGCACTTACTACAAAGTTGCTAAGCTTGTTCCACTCGTCCACCGCCCTATTTGTGAACCAGTTCCTTCCTATCTCCCTCCTTAACCTAAACTTATCCAACTTAAATCCGTTGCTCCGAGTCCTATCCTGCTCGGATATTATAAGAACTTTATCTATATCCCCTTTATTGATTCCTTTCACCCACTTAAATACTTCTATCATATCTCCCCGCACTCTTCGTCTTTCTAGGGA